TTTTTCCCTCAAAAGAAGGTATTCATAATCATATTGTTTATTGCATTACACATTCCAGTACATAAAGTGGAAAAGGAAATATTGAATTTTCACAATTATTATTATAGACCCAATAATTTTTTTTTACTAGGCTAAATCATCAAATTACTTCTCTCACCCAGAGTGAGGCGAGAAGAAGTGTCAGACTGTTACTGAAAACACCCGCCCGTTCCTTCTCCTGCTCTAGGCCGAAGCCGCCGTGTCTCATTGCACTTTCCACCCAACCCTGGCTGAACATCAGCCCTAATAGGGCGCAGTCTGTGGTTTTTTTTTGTGAGGGGAACGCTACGCGGCTTACGCTCGGGCCTGGTTCTGGTCGGGCGGCGAGCTGCCCTTACTCGCCGACCGCAGACCCGCGGTTACGGTGGCCGGAGATCATCTCTCGATCCCCGACGCCCGGAATGTCGCCTATTGAAGCGGCTGGGGCGTGAGGAGAAGCATTGCTCCCTCACGCAGGCCGCCTCTCTCTTTGCGAGCATGACTGCTTCACAAAAGGAGGAGACGGCGTCCCAGTTCCTCTCACTCCGCACCATGGCCTCGACTAAGGCCGGGCGCGAGAGGTCGCCGCCGCCGATCACTTCCCTGAAGACGCGCAGTCTGTAGTGGTCTATGTCCGCGGTCTGTGAGGCCCGCGGGGAGCGCTACGCACCGTACGCTCGATACCATATTAACTTTAAGGTATATTTCATGATGCCCATGACAATTAATCTGAAAAACGATAGTCTAAATTACTTATGTTTTTCCTTACGTAAGTTCATAATTATTCTTAGCTATGCATATGATATATTATGTACTTATTATGTATTTACTAACCAACCACGTGTAGATACATTATCCACGATGCATTGTCTTAAAATAGCAATGATCTTCATCGCAGCACATATTAAAGTTTGCAATCAAACACGTTTGATGGCATTTTAATTTGTTGTTCTATTGTGTGTGCTAGGAATTATACTGTATGTTACATGAGTTATTTACTTATTTATACATAAATGCACAAAAAAAAAAATAAACGCAAGTGTGAAACAGAACAAAAGGTATTATTTCTTGCTACAGACCTGCGACAGGAAAAATAATTAAAAACCCAAGAAGCAGTGTACAATAAAAAATATAGTAAATCGAAAAAAACTTAAACTTAAATAATTAGTATTTAGAAAATAAACAAAAAAAATACGGTACAGAATATATACCAATATACATAATGATAAAAACATTTTCTTCAGATTAGATCAGATTCGTCATCATAATCATCTTCAGCCTGATGTCGTCCACTGCTGGAGACAGGCCTCCCCAATTGCACGCCACTGAGCTCGATGTTCAGCTCTTGTCATCCAACCACTGCCAGCCACCCTGCGGATGTCGTCAGTCCACCTAGCTGGAGGGCGCCCTACACTACGTTTTCCTAAACGTGGTCTTTACTCTTACCCCAGCGGTCATCGGCTTTTCGACAAATGTGGCATGACCACTGTCACTTCAATTTGCTTATCCTTTGGGCTATGTCGGTAACTTTAGTTCTCTGTAGATCAGATGAATAATCGTTTTTTTTCGTCGAGGAGCAAAAATCTTCAAATTATTTCTCCTGCCTTGGGTGAGCAAGAGGAAGCGTCAGACTTACTGGATTCTGAAATTCAGGATTTAATTTAAGACTTAAAACCTATTTCTAATGACTAGAGATCCATTTTATAGGTACTTCTGCATCCGCGGTAACACTCGCTGTTTGAATTTTTATGGTATTTGATGGTGAGTTTTTATATTGTCGAAATGTTTAATTGGCTTTTTAGATTTATTAATTTCAGACATTAGCGCGTTCAAACAAACAAACATCTATAGAAACTCTTCAGCTTTGTAATATTAGTTCAGATCGTAGACTAGGTACAAAAAATCTATAAAAAATATTAAGAACCAATAAACAATATATAATATCCTCGCTTAGCAGCAGATTGGAGATAACAGTGGTTTTTTATTTATTTATTTATTCTTTATATACAATTGCATATCGGAGGACTTAATGCTAGAAGCATTTTCTGCCAGTCAACCTTTTGGTAGTGCAGAGATGTGTGGTAGGTGATATACAGCAATTTAGGAAGTTACGGGAGGTGGAGGTGTAAATCAACTCTAAGTTGTTTTTAAAGATGAGCTCTGTTTCCCAATGTCTATTTTTTAATGCAGATCTGTTTTTCAGTATCGGAAAACAACATTTTATAGGCCACGTTAACGTTTTAAAAATTGATGTTTCTGCTTCGATGATACATTGCGCTAGTCAAAAAGAAAAAAGTTGATTCCTTGCCAAAAACTCGTCTAGAAATATGTTTTAGTATTTGTGGCTCGCGAAATATATCTTTGGAACTGGTTTCCGTTTAAGATTTTGATTAGCAATCAAAATGGAAAGTTTTTACTGATTTATGAGCTTGTTTGTTGTTTTGGGAATCGGCGTGAAACAATGTTCGCGTAGTGTTGATAAGATTATTTGATGTTCCATTCTCCCTTCTATCCCTTATCCACCCACAGTCGCTATAGTTCCAAATTCCAATCCCCAAACCGGATAGCCGGATAGCCGGACCTACACCTACAACTTTATTATTTCAAACCTTATTTTTAACCCCGACGCAAAAAGAGGGGTGTTATAAGTTTGACGTGTCTGTTTGTCTGTCTTTGGCATCCTGGAGCCTGAAGCGATTTCAATTTAGTTTTTTTTTATTAAAGATGACTTACGTGCGAGTGTTCTTAGAAGTTATGGAGGGTAAGTGGGGAAGGGTAACCGAAGAACTGCAAATACATATAGATACTCGAGTAGGGTGTCAAATGATAGCGCACTGAAAGGGAATGTTGATGACTTAATAGAGAGAAAATTATATAAAATACCTATAAAAAGTATAACATAAAAAAATAAATTAGACCCTCGACAAAATAGAAATATGTAGGTGATAATAAAATGTTTGGATCGGTCCCTTTCGAATTTTTTTTTGTGGGGTTTTTTTATATTTAAAATTTATAATTATTTTATAATAAGACTTCAATTTATTTATTCACAAAAACAGTGATAGGTTTGACTCCTTCTTAGTTTCTTAGCTCCTATCATAAGCATACCTATTTAATTCCATCTTTCTATAAAGTTTTATATACCTATAGGTAAAAAGGCAGTCGTATTACTTTATGGTGAGCAAACGGTCTCTGAACGGTTCATGAACTTAAGTCACCAAACTCCAAGCGAACATTAGCGCACCTGTTCTTAATCTTACCACAATTAAAAGTTTAATAATAAGAAATCGACTTGTGTGATAAAATCGCCCATTGTAATCACATCCTTTTATTTATCTAACGTGTTTCTTCGCTTCATATATGTAAGCAATAGAGTTTATATAAATACATTAATAAATAAGCTCGTTGTTCCATGATAGACATTTACCCAGTTTGCTAGTTAATAATGTTTTGTAATAGGTAACCAAAAATAATAACAGGAAAATATACGAAAAGTTACCACAAGTTTTATCATAGTTAGGCAATTAATATTTCTTACTAAATATAAACAATAGCATTATTAGTAGAGTAACTATTAATAATAATAACTATTAGTTTGATCCGTAACGAATGTGCGTGAGTTCAGTTTTCCGCAATGTGTCCAAATAGTGATAATGTGGACGTAGGCGACGAATTGTTTAACAATAATTCTAAAACAAGGCGCGCGCGCGCCCCGCCCCCCGCACGCACCCCGGTAAGTTACGTATGCATTGCAACAGGCGGCGCTGGCGAGCGGCGCGCGGCGGTGGCTGCGCGGAACACAGACACCTTGGAGATGTCTTATATATATTTTTTTTTATGAATTTACCTATGAAGTTTTTTATTGATTGTCTTTTCGGAAATTAACACGTGCTAGTGTTATTCAAATAACGAAACTAAGATTTTCGTGATTTGAAAAACATTAGCACATCTCTTTTTAAAGTAAAATATTGTTAAGAATTATATATTTTTTATAAATAATATTTAATACGATTAAAATATCATTATTTACATTTACATAAGTATTCTAAGGCTGAAATCCTTTTTCTTGTAAGTATTAAATTATTGTGAGGGTGTGTGTGTTTATTTATTTTAACAAGGAACATAATTTATTATACATTGATCATCATCATCTTACTGCCCTTGTCCCGTTTTATTTGGGGTTGGCGCAACACGGTTTTTTATTCCAGTCTATCCTGTCACTCGTTGCACTATCACTAACTCCCTTTTCTATCATATCACTTCTCACACAATCCATCCATCTTTTCTTTGGCCTCCCTCTCCCTCTCCATCCATCCACAGGTAAATTCATAACTCTTTATAACATAACATGCTTTTCATCTCTCCTCTACATTACCATACCAAGACAAACGATTTCATTTCAACTTTTCAGTCACTGGCGCCTCTTTCAAACTTCCCCTAATATACTCATTTCTCACTTTATCCATTCTCTTCACACCACACATCCATCTTAACATTCTCATCTAAGCTACATGCAATCTTTTCTCATCCGTCTTCTTCACAGCCCAATATTCTGATCCATACAGTATGACAGACCTTATCTTACTTATAGATTTATCTTATCTTACTTATAGATTTTACCCTTCAACTTGAGGGGCATCCGTGGATCACAGGTTGTACCCGTGACCTGTCGCCATTTCATCTATATCTATCACCATTCTAAATTGATATCATCGTATATATAAAAATGAATTTACAATAAAACACATAATATCTTACACTTCCTGTGTATTATCATTATTATACAATATTTATTATCGTAATAGGAAATTATTAAAAAATTAAGAATAAAATAAATTAAAATCGGAAAATGAAAAAACATCCTCATATTCAACGACTGATTGTTGATTTGAATCAGCATTTTCTTTTCCCGAGCCAGTTGCTTTTTCTAATTGTTCGTTGCAAGTATCTGGGACAGAGTTTTTATTGTTATGAACAATCACGTAATCCGGATCACGAATAGGCTTGTTCCTGGTGTGCCTGGGGTCGACAAGTTCGGGAAGAAGACAGTCGTAATAGAATTTTAACAACTTTGGTTCCATGTCTTTTTTCCAGAACGCATCATCCTTTTTAATAATTTCAGTTTCTATTTTATTATTGCCATACCATATACCCAATGACGTTGACGACTCCATAGTTTCGTTCTCCGAACATTGTTCCAACGATTGTTTCCTAAAATATAACACAATATACATATTTTTTATAATGAACTAACACTTTACAGAAGATATTGTAATCTTCTTCTTATTTTTATTGCGATTGTAGCACAAAAAGTAGAAAACAAAATAGGTAGGTAATGAACCTACTTAGTTACTTACATATTTTTTGTCACAAAAATAAACATCATTGAAGTCACAGTCAAAGTGACTTTTTGAACGTCATCTTTTTTAGTAAACTACACATTTCACAATTCATTATGAAAACTTACTTTCTTTTTCGTCATATTTGCACATTTTTCTAAAAGACATGCTCTTCTTTTTCTTTTGGAACATCTTTCTTTCTTTTTTCCCATTTTTAACCGACTTCTTATTCAATAAAACCGCTAAATTTGATCACGCAATCGCCGATGCAGTCCGGAAGCGACTAGCACAGATCCGTCGCTGACAATGGTCAAGGGGGGACTGAGCGTGTCAGCGGGGCGAGGTTTGCATATGCGCGTTAGCTTATAACAAAACGACGTAAACGACAAAATGCTTTTTGTTATTTTATTTAGTCGGAAATGATAACTTGAGAAATTCCTTCTACAATTTTAAGGAGTATTTATAGACTTGTCTACAGAGCAAGTTGAGAGGCTAAAATCGGTCCCGTTTGCCAATAAAATGTAAATCTCTATTTAAAAAGAGGTATGTTTGATATTTTTTTCTCTGTTACAAAAGTTACTTAATCATGTAATGAAAACTAACAAAATATGGTTTTAATCATGAACTGTTCAGGTCACCAACTCATATTTTAATTCGTTTCGTAATTACTTAGAAAAATAGAGATCACTGATGCCAAAATTTCCAATTCGTCCTCTTAATATCAAAGTTCAATGACCTTTAAAAATAACTAAAGGGAAAATATATGTAATAAAATAGGAAGACTAAATAAAAATAAATTGGGATTTTTTTTAATGAAAACTATCTTGAGACTTTAGATAATACTATTAAACATATTTATAAACTGTCATAATCCTGACTCGACTTACTATATTATAAAATACTAGCCTTTGCCCGCGACTCCGTTCGCGTGGATAGAGACTTTCTGCAGATTTTTTTTATAAAAACTATCCTATGTCCTTTCTCGTGTTCCAAACTATGTCTGTACCAAATTTCACAGAAATCGGTTAAGTAGTTTAGGTTTGAAGAAAAGACAGACAGACAGACAGAGTAACTTTCGCATTTAATAATATTAGTTTGGATAAACAAAACTCGGTGCTAAAGATCTATAGTCAGAATTTTAATTCGATTCCTGATTTGACATGACCTACTGTCATTTTGTGAAATAATGATACCACATAAAACTGTGTAGTGATGAACACAAAAATCGATAAACAATCAGTGAATCAGTTTCAGGAAGGCATTCGAAAAATTACGGCATCCGAATGGTCTAAATGCGTATCCCATGTTTTCAAAGAATAGAAATAAATGAGTAAGCTAGATATGTTAATTGAGAATAAAAATCACAGACACAATTCATAATAAATGTTACAGAAAGTAACAGCGATAGCGATAGCGATGACGGCGACAATCTATAAAAAGTCTGTTTTATTTGTCATGTTCCTTCATGATCATATTTTTTATTAATTTTACACACAATTACAGAAGAAAAGTCTCAGATCGTTAATTAATTGTCAAAACTAAATTATCGGTTCAAAAATATTTTATTTCTGATAAACTTAGTTTACGAGAGTAAATTTATAAACGAGAGGAATCGATTCAGAAATATTCGATTTCCATATCGAATAATTTCGCAACGTCACTATTTCTTACGTGTCATAACGATGCAACACTGGAATTGTCAAATCTGGAATGGAATTAAAATTCCGAGTATAAGTTCCACAAGAAATGAATATTCTTATGACAAAACTGTGTGGGAGAGCCATGCTGTATGCTGCTGAAGTAAGATGCATGCATGCATCTTACCTATGAGTTCTAAATTTAAAAATAAAACCATGATATATTTTATTTTCAGAAATAAAGCCTTCATAAATATTATTTTACAGCGTAGATGCCTACATTTACCTTAAAAGATGTGTCCAGTTCTATATCGTATGTACATACATGGAGTTCTTAACACTCATAGTATTATGGAGTTCTTAATACTATCAGTAACGTTACAGTTAAGAACTCCATGGTGTTGAGTAATCTCCCGCCGACGCAACATCGTGACGACCTCGGCGATTCCAACTGACATAATATCATGACGTCACTGTCTCAACGCAATGCACTTGTTAGTCATAAACGCACCCTATTACTAGTAGGTGCAAAGTTCAAATCATGTTTGAGAGGATCCTCTGTGACAGTCTAGGGATGAACTATGAACCCTCATCTACATAAGAAGGTTCATCATAATGTTCAGAATCGGCAGATATGTTAGTAATCGCAGTATAAAAGGAGAAATTTTTAACTGCACCACATTTCTTTGTGTGATAGCACGGCAAACGAGCAGGAGGATTACCTGATGGTAAGCAATCAGCGCCGCCTAGAGACATCCACAACTATGGAGGAGTTACAAGTAGGTACGTTGCCTTTTGGCGATTAGTGTTTCAATTTAGTAAAACAGTTATGCTTTAAAGATCTTACAGTATTATGCTGATGAGCTAATTCAGTGTGTAATTCAATACTTTTAGTGGTAATTTTGAATATTTATATGTATTGAAAAAAGGAATCTTACATTCATCATCATTATGAGTATAGAGGTGCCCACTGCTGAGCAAAGGCCTTTTCTCACATAGAGCAGGTTTGAGCATTAATCACCACGCTTGCTCAACGCGGGTTGGCAATTTCAAGTTATTAGAAATTATAAGTCCAGGTTTGCTCACAATGTTTGCCTTCACCGCATGTCAGTGGTGTGTCTAAATAATCAAAGAAAGTACATATAACTCAGAAAAAGTCACATTGGTACTAGCCAGGTTTCGAACCCACACCCTCATGCATGAGAAGCGGGCGCCTTAATTTCGGGGCTACCTCGACCTATGTCATCTTACAGTACCACCTATTAAAAAGGTTGAGGAGTTATCGGAGAGAACTTCTCCAGGTACTGACCCAAGAACACCTTTACTTCTACGAAATACGCGGATAGATTTTGGGATGAGATTAATGTGTCCCTCTTTCTCTACATTGAACTTACATTTACCTTGCCCTCTTTCGAGGGCAAGGTAAATGAAAATCACACATTTTCCTAATTTGAATTTGGAATTTCCTTTAAAATATTATAATCAGTCAGATACAAATAGTGTAGCCAAAGAGATTTTATTACAAGATCATACATGCTATAATGCGAAAAGTCTTTATACCGAAGCTAATAGGTTCGCCGCCACTTTCGATGCAAATATAGTAATATGGAATAAAATATCGAGATAATTACCTATGTCATGATAACTATCCTCTTACTCATTAGGAACGGGTTTTCCATTAATCAAAACTGAACACGTACACAGCCTGCGTACATTAATAAATTATAATTATAATAATCTTTATTTGCATTAATAGGTGCATAGTGGAATATGATGTTTCACAAATAAATCTATCGGAGTAAGAGGATCTAAATATATAATGATAATTTGTAAATTATTTAATTAAAATGTTTCAGTTCTTAATTTCTAAAATGATATGTTGTAATGCTAAATCGTTGTTTAGGTATATTCTTTCTAATTGTGAAGAAATAAATATCTATTATGTTTTCGGCTTACTCACGTAATAATTTGACGAGATACTCGACTAGTTTCAAGCCATGCTAGAGGCTCATATTCATGAGCAGCATTGCGCGACACTCGACTCGGCGACTGTCGCGCTGCTAACATTTCAAAAATGGTATTAATTTCTTTTTTTTACTAATTAAATTGCAATGGTAATAAAACACTATTCATATTTAAAAACACAGCGGAACATGTTCCAATTTCGAAACTTCGAATAACTAAATGATGAATGTAGTAATTCGTCATAAGTATGACGTTTGGTTGTATGTGGTAGTTACGTGACCTCTTAGGCGATGGCCTTAGGGAAATACTCGAGGTAGACACATACATACGTACATACTAAGCATAGTTTTACGTATTTATAACTCTAGTACTGTGAATTCGGTGATAAATATATCGTCAGACTACTGCGTCCAAGCTTTTGTATATTAATAGGACATTCCCTATCGATCTTGATTACAGATTTTGTTCTGTATATGTGTATTTAGTTTTCAAATGTTTTTATTAATGGTTGTAAGTTAATATAATAGCAGTATTTTGCAGAATATTGCAAGATTAGTCGAATATATTGTAAACATTTAGTTACCGATTCAAGCTATTACTATTCATTTATATTTTTTAAATTTTAATTCATTTTATTTTTTATAGTTTAATTAAAATATTTTGAAATTAAATAATAAGCTATGGTTTATGATCGTTAAAATAAGAAATGTTATTAATAAAAACAATGGATTTTATAAATTAAATTGGATATTTTTTTGAGATTGAATTCGTTCCACTAACAACAATAAACGTGAAAGTTTGTAAGTATGAATACGACGGATGTTTGTTACTTTGTACGTTGAAATTACTAAATGGATTTTGATGAAAAGTGGCAGTAGGATAGATCTTGGTCAAGGTCTTGAATCGTCGTCGCCGATCACTTTATACATTGTGATTTAAACCATGTGGGTTTTTTGTCATATGTATCATTACTAGAATTTCGGAGAACTTTAGCCACAGTTTTCCGAAATCGTGGTGTCTGTACCGTCGCCGTTGACGCGCGGCGCCGTCAATCGATGTGGTATACATAGTCGGACGACGTACATCTCCCGCCAGTAGTTGAGCTGCGCTCGCGCATAGTGCGAGTTCATTAAATATATCATTAATTCATTTGTAACATCTCATAGTACCGCGTCGTACGAGATTTTGATTGTCTTTCTAAGTGTGTGTTGTGGCTTAGTGTTTGTGATATATATATTTTTTGTTGAATTTTTATAAGGTATGTTTTATTTTTATTTATTATTTAAGCTATTTAAAAGTATGGGAGAATAGTTTTCTTTTATTTTTATTTGATCGTTTCGTATGTTTCTGATGTAAAATTTTAATGGGATGTTGTATGGATGCTGTTTTAAATTATAAAGGCTGATTTCTCACAAGATTTGATAACTTTGATGATAAAAGATATTTTGATGGCGTTGAATACCTAATATATGTATTAGATAAAGTAAGTGACAAAAAAAAAACGTGAGTGCATTGAAAAGAATTTTTTTTAACATTAGTACCAAAGAGGCGCGTTTTCTTTTTAAAATTGAATAAAGAATATTATTTTTCTAGATTACATAGGTACCTATTTTTTTAAATAAAGAGATCAACGACTTTTCGAAGAAAAACAATTTCATAACTCTTGTTGATAAAAAACTACTTATCAAATGATAATTTATTGTGTTGCGAGCTTTTAGAGCGCATCTTAACCTTTATAGAGGAAACAGACAAAAAATACCTTTTAATTGTGAAACTGATTGAAAGAGAGTAACCATGGACTTTATTGCTCGTTCTTTTTCATCGGAATCTATACTTTTGAAATTATTTGGAATCTATCCTCTAGCAAAATATTTTCACTAGAGGACGGACCGACAGAGTGACACACACGAAATTGAACTTTTTGATATTTATTTTATTCAGAATTAGTCTGACGTTCAAACGTGCCTAGACTGGTATATTTGAAATAAACTATTTGACTTTGACGTTGACATGTTATGTCAATGTCAGCATCCAAAATTATCGTCTTATCTCATTCTATTGTGCATTATTACGTGATCTGTAAGATAAAAAATTATCATGTTAAACCAGTGCAGTTTTAATAACGTGAACATTTGTATACATGGGTATTTGTAATTCTTTGTCTCAAAAACTACTGAACAGATTAGAATGAAAAAAACATTGAAGTGATATGATATTTAATTCAACTTAACGAGAATTTTTATTATATTTTTTAGTGAAATATTATACTATTTACAAATTATTTCTAGGACATAATGATAACTATCTGTAAAACTGTTATAAGATTAATTTACTCAGTTAATTGAATCACTTACTATTTTCATCTAAGGGTCGACTGGGAGAAAATGCCTAAGTCATTAAGTCGGCCTGCACAGATTTTTCTATTAAACATCATCTATACTAATATTATAAATAGGTAAAATTTGTAAGTTTGCATGTGTAAGTTTGTATGTAGAGGTAATCTTTGGAACCGCTGGCCGGATTGCCAAAATTCTTTCACTGATATATAGCTACAAGGTTCCTGTGTGCTGTAGGCTATAAAACATCACACTACGATAAAATGGAGCTGAGCAGCGGGTGAAACCGCGTGAGAGTAGCTAGTTATAAATAAATTAATAAGTGGACGCGGCTGGACATAGTTAAACACTTTTATAACAAGAAAAAAATAACCGAAATGAACTTGTGATCTCTTGGTATAGATAATGATGATACTCCCAAACAACTACTCGTACATTCATTATCTCCTTAAACCTTATTATTATATGAATGCAATCGTTGATGTGTCATTTCTTTTTAATTAAAATACCTATTCTAGTTACTTTTAAATATTTTTTTATGTCATAGATCGGCAAACGAGCAGACGGGTTACCTGATGGTAAGCAATCAGCACCGCCCATGGACGGTCCCGCCAGGAGGAGTTACGAGTGTGTTGCCGACCTTTTAGAAATTAGGGATTAGGAGATTTAGGGATTGAGGAGGGATTGGGGGTGGGGAAGGATTGGGCCTCCGGTAACCTCACTCACACGAAACACAACGCTGTGGTTGTTTCACGCCGGTTTTCTGTGAGGCCGTGTAGTATAACTCCGGTCGAGCCGACCCATTTGTGCCGAAGAATGGCTTTCTTACACTTAATAATATACTTATAAGTACTACTTTGTTAATCTCGTATTGTTACTATCGATCAAACACTCTACAATTAATTGCAAATAAAGACTTAATTACGCGAATCAAGTGATTCGTGAGTTGCTCACGCACGCTGCTCATAAATAAGGGTCCCGTTGCAGCTTGAAATTAGTACGAGCAGAATTTTAGTCAGTTAAGTTACGTGCGTTTGTTCCACAATAGTTACTTTACAAAAAAGCTCATTATATTAATATTCTTACAGTTTGTTACATTACAACTTAGTAAAAATAAGGCAAAGAGATGAAATTGAACAGATTTGAATCGAATTTTGATGGATTTGTCTAGGTTTTCTTTTACGTTTTAATGTGTACGGTAACAGTGTGCGTATCTTGCAATAGAATTTTGAACCACATATCTTCAACTGATTGAGCTGACATTTTGTACATACTTACATACCTAGTTATGTATGTCCGTTTAGTTAGCATGACCATAAATGCTCAGCTATACGACTTTAATCTAAATCCATTAAAAACTCACATAAGTGTTCAATCATATATTATAGAAACTTTTTTTAAAAAGTTCCTCAAATTAATAGAACCTCTAAATAGCTGTACTTTATGTACCTTATTTTGGACTGAAATCAATTATTAAACAAGCCCTTTTTTTAAAAACCTCCTTGACATTTATAATTTTAGTCATGGTCCCGAGGAAATTAATCTGCCGTGGCCTTAGCCTGGAGCAGGGCAAGGAACAAGGTGGTTTTTAGACTGTAATAGTCTGACACGCTCTCTCGCCCTTAAGTAATTTGATCATTTTAATCCCTCGAATGTACCTTACATATTCATAACTCTCTATTGAAGTAAAGAAATAATCAAATGTCTTCTCCCCGAGGAGGACAAATGAGAGTGTAAGGCTCTCTGACTAAAAAATAATTGGTTAAGTAAATCTCCTGTTTAAAAAAAAAGTTTAATAAGTAGAACACCGTCGGTTTTACCGAAAATGGCATTATTCATATCAAATATACATATAGGTTTATAATAAAATGGAGGGTTTATTTATATACATTAAATATAAAATTTACGGGGCATTTTTTAATAATTAAACCGCTAGACAATTTAATATTCCAATCAAGCAAATCAATCGAATACTTTTAGTTTTTGCTACAAATTGAGATCGTAAATTTTTATTAAAAACAATAATTATGTTGTTTGATTGGGTTTTCGAGTTAAGAACCGTTTTATTAACAAGATTTGTAACTACATAGTTACAAGATTATTAATTAATATTGAAATATTTTGGCCTCGTTTTCCTCTAAACTAGTTAACAGACAAATAAATGAACTCGCGGAAGTGTTTATATGTAGGGTATGTCCTTATTTAATTAAAGTTTGTTATGTTAAGAAACTGTATTTTAAGTTTAATGTAACATCGCGGTTTTAATAGTAGAAGGTGTAAGTAGAAACACACTGTAATGTAAATTTTCAATTTTTATTTGGTCTTCTATGACTTATGGGTAAGTCTAATGGGTCTTCAAGAAGTTATTTAGCCTTTTTAATCCGATGAAAATATTAAAATTATCCTCCAGCTTCCAGTAACTTTTACTCACAGGAAAAGGAAACACACGAACGGCGAAACAACGCTATGGTTGTTTCACGACGGTTTACTTTAAGGCCGTAGTATCACTCCGGTTAACACGACCCATTCGTGCCGAAGCTTGGCTCACCCACAATTAAATTATAGATACATACGCTTTTATGAAACTATAAATATGTACATCATAAGACTATAAAACATTTAATGGGCTTCCACATAACACACATTATACAATACCTCTATATGTATCACTATATGCTACACTCGTACATTGGCGGCAGTTATTAATATGATGTTAAAATCTACAAATAAAACATAAAATTATTTAACGACGTTGTGTTACGACATAAAAATAAAACTTCATAATATTTGTTTTTATCCTAACTTTTATAGGTTGTTGTCAGATACAAGCTTATCTATATAGTTCTAATATTTCCATTTATTTACGTTAAAAATGTTTATAATTTAGAAATCTTAAATATCCGAAACCATTTTCCCCAAAGGATTGTCAACGCACTCGTAACTGCTTTGGTGTTTGTCTGGTGTTTATGGGCGGCCCTGTAGCTTACCATCAGGTATAATCTTGTAAAAAAACTGAAATGTAAGGGCGTGAACTGGCTTCTATTCACAAAGCTACTATCGAAAATGTAAATTATATTTTTTGTAGGGAAACAAGTTTTTTTATTAGACTTATACGTTAATCTATGCAAACTACTCAACAGATCTGAATTAAGTTTGGTTCAGGGATATATTTTGGTCAGGACTAACGCATAGGCTACTTTTTATCCTGTTGTTGTGGTCAACTCTGCCCGCTGAAACTAGTCAACAAATTAGTATTTTTTTAAACTTTGCTCACACATATTGGTAAATAAAATACTTGTTCTCACATACAAAAACACATAATTTTGTTTGAATAGGTATTTCACACGTAAACCGACGGATGTTACCTACTTACTCATCGAATGTCAACACTACAAGTGTGAAGTTCAAGGTCACGTTAATATATTCAAAGAAACAAAAGTATTTCACAAAAAATATTTGTCTTTTAAAAATCAAATATTTAAACAGAATGACAAGCGAAATGTGTAAATTATAAAGTTTATAATATGATAAAAATTTAATAAAATGAAATTGGGACTTGTCCTGTTAGTATTTTATTTTTGGTGACCCTACTTTTTATTTTCTTATTTAAATTACATATTACTTATTTTTTATTACGTTTCATAAGGTCGTTACATTTTAAGTAAGAAAATCGAATGGCTTGAAACTAGTCAAGTTTGACGAGAAACTTGACTAGTTTCAAGGCATGCTGTAGGCCCATATTCATGCTTGAAACTAGTCGAGTATCTCGTCAAAAAATTACGTGAGTAAGCCGAAAACATAATAATTAATATAGTGTCTAACTTTTCAGGTGCTTATTTGACTAAAAACGAGGAAATAGGCAATCATGAACGAACTAATCAATAAAATATTTTATAAAAATTGTATTACTATATAAATAGTA